CATTTGGGACTTTCTGGCTTTTACTACTACATGGTCTGTTGAATTGCTGTTAAGTGTCCTTAGGACGGGAACAAATAAAAATATATTGGGATTGACTTTGAAATAAAGTTATTAACATCACCAACCTGTGCTCTTTGAAATATAATGGTACCAAGAATTTCATTTAAAACTATGATAGCAAGATATTCCAAAAGTAACAGTCCCTGCTTGTCCCTACAAAGACAGTTTAAAGTAGGTTGTCATATATTGTCTTAATAATCAGAGTCCCCAACCGTCTGTATTGTCAAAGAGTAAACTACAGAACCTCTTTTCCCCAAGTTTATCTTGATTTATTCAGCACTGCTTCCAACTATTTTCACAGCTTCCGTAGGATGATGATAAAGTGTGTGTATGTGTGGGGGGTTTTTGGTGTCAGCCAAGTGTCCACTAATAATTATTTTGGGTGACACATTGAATGATGATCACAAAATTGAAGACATGAGGAGCAGTGCTGACATAAGTCCCATTCCTCGCCTTGACCTGCCTATTAAGAAAAAAAAATTCTTAGTTGCAAAATACAAGGACTAACATTACCAGAAAAAAATATTAAACGTGGTGATAAATAGCCACACAAACAAAGGGACTTACAGTGTGGCGAGAGAGAGAGATACACATTTATAGAACATTTAAAAAGAATCCTTCTACTGTCCAAAAGATAGTTAGAAACAAATATATCTCCATTGACATTGAGATGCATTATCTAAGTACTGTCTACAATCTCTTCCTTTTTTCCTTTCCCAACCCGCCACCCCCCCATTTTGAACAGATTATTTTGACTCTTCTTTACAGGGCAAGCCTGGTGTCATAGAATGTCAGCACTTGTGTAGCACAAAATCAAAATGCTTCATTGGTTGAATTCTATTACTTTGAACTGATACAACATTGTGATCTGTTTTCTAATTTCCTCCAGGATTTCCCTACCCCCTTTGTTTTTCCACCTCATTTTCAGGAAGCTTTTAAATTTCTTCCTATTTTTTGTTTCAGTTTAGATGAGACTTTATGACCATTAAATAAATGTAGGCCTCCCTTGACTGGAACTCAACTCTCCTATACTTGTCCATGTAGTTTTCTTAACAATAGTATGGAACTAATTTGCCATTGCTATTTTCTCAGATTTTTTTTTCAACTTTCCAATCTAGCTTCTAACCCTGGCATTTTTTGGAGAATTTTCCTCCAAATGTGGTATTAACCACATTTAACCCTACTGAGTTTTTAAGAAGAACCAAGGTTGAAAGAGTGCAGAGGAGAGCAACAAAGATGATTAAGGAACTGGAGGCTAAAACATATAAAGAACGGTTGCTGGAATGGGGTATGTCTAGTTTAATGAAAAGAAGGACTAGTGGTAACATGGTAGCAGTGTTCCAATATCTCAGGGACTGCCACAGAAGGAGTAAATCTATTCTCCAAAGCAGCAAGGACAAGACAAGAAGCAATAGAAGGAAATGAATCAGGGAAAGAAGCAACCTAGAACTAAGGATAAATTTCCTGACAGTTAGAACAATTAATTAGTGGAACAACTTGCCCGCAGAAGTTGTGAATGCTCCAACACTGGAAGTTTTTAAGAAGCAGTTGGATAACCATTTGTTTGAAATGGTATAAGGTTTACTGCCTAAGCAGGGGGTTGGACTACAAGACCTCCAAATTGCCTTCCAACTCTGTTTTTCTATTCTATAGTGATTAGGTTCTGTACCTGTTGTGATTGTGAGGTGCTTGGCAATATTCTTTTGATTTTCACTTTAATTACAACAAAAAGATTATAAGTAGCAAAATAGTGCTATAATCCTTTGGGTATGGGATTATTATAGCAATAGCACTTAGTCTTATATACCGCTTCACAGCAGGGGTGGGATTCTACCAGTTCGCACCTATTCGCTAGAACTGGTTATTAACATTCTAAGCAGTTCGGAGAACTGGTTGTTAGAAGAAATTACTGGCCTAATCCTGTAAGGAGGTCAGGAAGGAAACATTTTGGTGTTGCTTACAGAAACTGCCTCTCCATTAACCCTTCTTGGGAGGACTAGACTTCCTGTCTCAGGAACTTCTCTGGAGTTATTTTTCCCTCCTTTGCTGGTACTTTGCTTGTGTGGAGTGACCATTCAAAGCTACAATGGCACTGAAAAAAGTGACATGACCATTTTTCACACTTACGACTGTTGCAGCACCCCCACAATCATGAAAGGCCAGGCCTCAATGTGAGTGATATTGAGTTGGCCACACCCACCAAATAAGCCACACCCACAGAACCAGTTGTTAAAAAATTTGAATCCCACCCTTGCTTCACAGTGCTTTACAGCTCTCTATAAGCAGTTTACAGAGTCAGCATATTGCCCCCAACAATCTGAGTCCTCATTTTATTGACCTCAAAAGAATGGAAGGCTGAGTCAACCTTGAGCCGCTGAACATTGAACTGCTGGCAGTTGGTAGAATTAGCCTGTAATACTGCATTCTAACCATTGAGCCACCACAGCTCTTCCTGTCACATTTTTATTTATTGAGAGATGGTGAGGGGACTTGTGAGAAGATGTATAGCAGATATTTCAGCCATTTGTCTTTTCTGTGTGCAAAGCCTTATGGTGTCCTTGAAGTTCGACTGCCATTCTCTAGAGAATGGTCTGCCACATCCTATATGAAAAATAACATTCATCTGAAATCCAGCTGGTTTACTTAAAGTCAAAGAGAGACAAGGCCAGCTCGCCCTAGCTTCGAAGAAAAGGTCTGAAATACAAGTTCTGTTTGTTACATCACTCTGCATTTTACAATCTAGGAGAATCACAGTTTTCTATATCAAATTCCAGGGACTTCTAATCATTAACAAATCTTTCAGTGTTCAGTGTTCTTTCACTGTCCTGCCTCGGTTTTCTGCAGGCACCTAGGGAATTGATTAGAATGGTTGTTTTGCTGATAACAGTAGAATACCATGTATTCTCCTGGCCTGACTGTCTAGAATGTGACTCTGTGAAGTAAACAATTTATTTTATGGAAATCTATGAAAGCAGATAATGTGGGGGGGTTTCCTTCCTCACATAATATACAACAATGACTTTCTTTGCTTCCTTTTTCCACTTTCTTATGCTGGCAAAAACTCTTCCTACTGGTTCTTCTGTAAATCACAGTACAATAAGGGTAACACAGAAATATGCTTTCTTCCCTGAAGGTCATTTTTTTAATTTGAAAGTTCTAATATGGAAACCTTTTCTTCCATACAAAATGTGGAATGAGTACAGTGACAATGAACACTGTACAATAAACGAGAGTTCTTAAATGCATTTCCCTCTGAATATATTAGCAGACAATTCCTTCCCAAATGCTCATCCTGGAAGAATAGTAAATTCAAGCCTATCGCAGGTAGATCTCAACTTACAACCACAATTGAGCCCAAAATTTCTGTTGCTAAGTGAGACAGTTGTTAAATGATTTTTTTCCCATTTTACGATCTATCTTGCCCAGTTGTTAAACTAGGGGTCCCCAGACTTGGCAACTTTAAGACTTGTGGACTTCATCTCCTAGGGAGTTGAAGTTCACAAGTCTTAAAGTTGCCAAGTTTGGAAACCTCTGTGTTAAATGAAACACTGCAGTTGTTAATTTAGTAACCTGGTTGTTAAGTGAACCTGACTTTCCCATAGACTTTGCTTGTCAAAAAGTTGCAAAAATCACATGATCCCAGGATTCTGCAATCATCATAAATACATGCCAGTTGCCAACCTTCTGGATCATATGATCACGGAGATGTTGCAGCAGTTGTAAGAGTGAAAAAACAGTCATAAGTCACTGGGTTTTTTTGGTGCTGTTATAAATTCAAATGTTCACTAAATGAACTGTTATAAGTCAAGGACTACCTGTATTCTACATTATGACAACAATCTTTCAAAGATATTTGCATTTCATGAGTGCAAACTGTGTTAACATAATACTGGGAATAAAAAAAAGGAATGTTAAAAAAACATAAAGCAAAATAATGATACTAAGGTCAAAATTAAAACCATGAATATCATTTGTGATATTTTCATATTATTAAGGCATGGTACAGTGATTTTAATGATATACATGTATTTTGTGTTTGTGGCATTTAAATAGGTAAAGAAGAGATAAAAGAAAGAGAGAGAAGGAGTGTGGTTAAATCCATTTCAATTTGTATTCCTTGTAGATCTAAAATGTATTTTTTTTTAAAAAAAATCCATATTTCAAGAAATATGATGGTAGTATATCTAGAGACAAAGCAAAATTAAGTTATCAATAGAAATTGGTTTCCCGATTATATATATCTGAAAAAAATAAAAATCCCACAATCTGAATTTAGAGTCAGTAAATTACAAATTCAGTGTAAAACTTCTACTTTTAGTGCTGCCAGAACAGAATCATTTAAAACAATGTGAAAGGGAGGGGGAAAGTTAGAGTGTGATGTGAGCTATTTACATTACTGAAATTTTCGTTACTAAATATACGTTTTAGAATACTAACTTTGGATTGTAGGAAAACATTCGGGAAGAAGGTACCTTGAAACCTAAATCAAAGCTTTCTCAAACCTGTTTTTGGGTCCAACTACTGTGGGACCCCAAGCATCATGACCAAAGACAATTCTAGGAGACATTGCCCCAAGACTTATAGAGGGTGGGTTTCAAAATGTCTGATATGAAAGTGTGGACGAAAACTCAGCAGGCCAACAAACACTGCTGAATTGTGAATGTTATGGGACAATTCTTAAAAAAATATATGACATTTGTATCATAAAATATGGCAGGATTGGTTCAGGTTAGAACTGCTAGAATCTTTAGCCACTTTATGGTGGCTTAGCCACAATAACCCTTTCTTAAAAATTCTCCAAATGTTAGTGTGTAGATGAACGGAGTTAAAAGAGTGGTAATTCCAGCTAATTGTTGTGCGTTCAGAGCAGAGGTGGTGTTCAGCAGGTTCTGACCAGTTCTGGAGAACCGGTAGCAGAAATTTTGAGTAGTTCGGAGAAACGGCAAATACCACCTCTGACTGGCCCTGCTCCCATCTATTCTCTGCCTCCCAAGTCCCAGCTGATCAGCTGGGTCTTCTTTTGTTGCCCTGCACAGGAGAATGGAGCTAGAAAGCAGGTTAGTGGGGTGGAGAGGGAATGGGATTTTCCAGTATCCTTCCCCTGGAGTGAGGTAGAAGTAGAGATTTTACCGTATCCTTCCCCTGCCACACCCACCAAGCCATGCCCACCAAGCCACACCCACAGAACCGATAGTAAAAAAATTGAATCCCACCACTGGTTCAGAATCTGAGTAATTGAACTTTTTAAAAAAATCCTGCAAATGTGTTACAAGAAAAGTCTCTTCAGAACTATGTGGCTCCAAAATAATAATCTAGTTTTCATATACCCATGTTAAATCTGGACAAATGTGGGATGCTAGAGTACCATCTACAGTAATCAATGTACATGGAACCTAGTGGGATTTTTCCTATTAGCCTTGTTTCCCTCCCAAGTCTCTTGGTATTGAATCAGCATTTGCATCTTTTATAGAATACTTAAAAGGGAGGGGGAGCTAACAGCTGTATGAAGATAGTTTTTCCAAGCAATGGAAATAAATAAACACATAAATAATTCCGATCAGCATGGAACAATTCTGTTAATGGAGGAAGATATTTCTACTGAAAGAATTTTGGTTTGGGGTGGGGTGGAGTGATATAAAAATATATTGGGTAGCTTTTTAAAGGAGTTTTCTGCAAGATTATGTGCTAATAATTTGACCATCGTGAAGACCAAAAACTCAAAGTATGTCTTCCCTTAAAGACTACAGGCAATATTGTAAACCAAAACCATGAGTACTTTTACTATCTTTGTTGTAAGGTTATAGTAATAGAACCTTCAAGTCTGAAAGCACATTTCCCCTTTCTTGCCTTTACTTTTCAGAGAACAATGGACCTTCCCTTCTAAGATTCTTCCCACACCCTTATTCCTTTGCTGAAAAGAGATATCTTTTTTGTAATCACTATCTAGGCTGTGCCTTTTCCTTCTCCTTCTCCTAAGGTGAGTCTGAAAGTCCATAACAAGATGCCTGAAGTTGTGAGGGTCAAGGAACTGGCCAATGTGATCCCACTGTCTTGGCTTTGATGAGAGAGAGCTGTGTGTTACCTCAAAACATCCTTTCTTTCCTTTCCTAGCTACTGAGAATTCATCCTCCCTCAATATTTTGAATACACGTTCTATATTTCCCTTAATCCTATATTCCTTGAAGTTTAATGTCAATTTCCTAATATAGTTGTTCCCTTTTAAAATGAGATGCCTTATGTCCAATATAACCAATGCTGAAAGCTTTTCAAAACAGCAGTGTTTAAGCTTTTGTTTTTCAGGAAAGTATCGCTTTTGCGGAGCTGTGAAATTGGGAGATAATAACTGGGAGAAATATTAAAATGTTATTAAAATGGCCTCATAATTAGATAATTGGATATCTATTTCTGAGCTTTGCTTTTTAGCCAAGAAGCCTTTTTAAACATATTCTATTGTGATGCTATATAATCAGAACTCATTCACTTGGAAAGAAATACACATGCCTTTCCTTTCCTTTCCTTTCCTTTCCTTTCCTTTCCTTTCCTTTCCTTTCCTTCTTTCCTCCTTTCCCTTCCTTTCCTTTTGATCTCTGGACATACTGCTAAATGCAATCATCACAAATCAGTAGCATGGCTTATGGCTATTTTTAGGGAAGAAAGAAGCATAAATTAAAGTAGGTTTAATTGTGCTAAAGCTCAGAGACACACAAACTGCTCCCCAAATTCAGAAAAGGGGACAGAAAATCCATACACTGTTGACCCTGATCTATTTGCATGGAAAGGGTGGCTACACAATACAATCTCAAGCATCCCTTAAGTGTCTGGAACTAAATATTGGTTCTATAGACCCTAATAAATCATAATTCTCATCTCTTATTCTAAGTAGGAAAGAAGAAGGCAGAAAAAGAAAGTTAAAGTTAAAGATGACAGCTGCTGAACTTTTTGAATAATCATCATTTTGAAATTACAGTCAACCTCTGTTTGCAACAGCATAAACATTTGTGGCTGATTTTAAATGAAATGCTGACATTCGTAGGATATTTGCTAGACACGTATATACAAAATTCTTTTTCTGATTATCCTAACATTTTATGACAATTAATTTGCATTACACATTTTAACATGTGGCAACAGACATTCAAAAATATCAGGAAATCTTGCTTCATTTGTCTATATTTAGGAACACTGGCAGAAAAATACAGGATAATCTCTGCGCTCCATCTAATTTGTGAATAAACAGACCTCTTAACCTGTCAAATGGAGATGCTTCCAATTCATATTTTTTTTGTAATTATATTCAGGATGGATGAAAGAGTATACAACTTAAGAGATGTTAAATGACATTAACTCTACTGTTAAGTACAAGATTTCATTTTTAAAAAGAATGTGTTATTTGTCTATGTTTGGAAAACGTCCAATTCTTAAGGGTCCAAAACATATACTATATTTTTCCCCAACCAGTACCTGGAGATGCCCACTTTCCCTGCTTCAAAAGGCCTATATATGGTTGAGTATTTGAGTCATTTAAATCAGGGGTCACCAAACTTTTGCACCTCAGGGACCTCCAAACTCATAATTTTAAATCCCAGGGACCACTAACTGGTTCTGTGGGTGTGGCCTAATTTGTGGGTGTGGCTTGGTGGTCATGTGACTGGCTGGGCATGGCTTGTATGTAAATATTATAAATATTTATACAAATATTGAATTTTTTATAAAAAAAAGAGCAACTTTTACCCAAAATCAGGCAAAGCAGGCAGATTGAGTTGCTCACAGAATCACAGATTCATTCAGAGATCTATCTATCTGCCATCGGCTAGCTCAGTCTTTCACATAAAATTTGCTTGCAAACAAACTCATAAAATTTGCTAACAAGCAAACTCCCAAAATTATCTCACAACACACCATGTATGTAAATATTGATTTTTTTATTTTTCTAAAAAAGAGCAACTTTTACCCAAAATCAGGCAAAGCAGGCAGGCAGATTGAGTTGCTCACAGAATCATTCAGTAATCTATCTATTTGCCATCGGCTACCTGAGTCTGTCACATAAACTTTGCTTGCTGTGAGTCTGCACTGAATAACGGAAACTTCCATCCTAAGGGAGGTTCGGCTGTGCTTAAAAGCAGAGCAGAAGATCTAAAGACTAGCTAGAAAGCAAAAGTGGCTTGGTGGTCATGTGACTGGCTGGGCATGACTTATATGTAAATGTTATAAACCCCTGCTCTTTCCTGTCCTTTACTTCCTTTGTTTAGAGCACAGCTGATTCACCGATTTGCGCAGCAGAGTGGTAGAAGGTAAGTATTATAGCTGTTTAAATTGCGGAGAATACATGCAGTGTGCATTTGATATGAATGTGCGCAAAGTGCGCGATCATTGAACCAGTTGTTATACCGGTGGAATCCCACCCCTGTAAACCATCATTGCTAAATGTTAGAGTAATGTTAGAAAAATATTTATGTCATAACCTTGAAACAATAACAAGAAAGTTCAGAGCAGTTTTAAGACTTAGGAATTTGTTTAATGGAAGCACAAATACTGTAAAGATCATTACTAAAATGTGAAGTGTTAGATAGGCTGTTCCAACATGGTCTATTCTACTGTCTTTTTTTTTTTTTAATTTTCCAAAGAATTGATGAAAAATAGTTTATTTTTAGGCCATAAGTTTCCGTCCTGGTTGCTCTTGAGGAGTACGAATTTTAACTCCCAAATTTGGCCACCTGTGATGGCCATGGCTGAGAAATCTTTGTTGAAGACCAGATGTAAGGAAAAAAAAGCATATCTAAGTTGGAAAAGAATTCTTCAGAACATTTCTGTATTTTCTTGCTTTTGATAGTTCAGAGACTAAAGATCCTTTACATTATTTCATCAAAAGGGAAGTGTCCCCAACAGCAATGGAAAGTAGCTTCTCTCTGAGCTCCTAAGTTTTGCATCTCCAAGAAACGTTCAGTTCAGGAGCAGAGTAATAAATGTCACAGAAGAATTGTAGACCAAAGTCAGAATTCTCTTTCAATTTGCAGAATGGATTATGGCCTCAGGAAGCTTTTCTTGAAGAGAAGGGACAAATCTGCTAAGGCCAGGCTACATACCAAACACACCAAGTCCAATTTAAAAAATACAGGGTTTTCTGTGTACCTAAAAGGCCCCAATAAAGAACCCAAATTTTGGCTTAATGCAACATCAAGGCTCAAGAACATGCTTAAAAAATGATATATCCTTACAACTTGCAGGGCCTCAAACTGTTTTAGCCTTTTCTGGCAAGTTGCACAATCTCAGCCAGAGATTACTTTTTATTAACCAGCCTCATTCTATTTAATGACAAGGGATTACTGGAGCAAGATGTGGAATACTTGCACTTACTAATTATTAGTGGGGTAGAAGAGCATACGGCTTGTCTTTTCTCGAACTTTTCTTGCTTCTCATGATTCAGTTAGATTCTATAGATGTCACTTATAGGACCCTTTTCAGTTCAGTTAGTAAGCTCATCAAGAGTGTGAGAATATATAAAAACTCTGACAAAATTTACAAAGTCCATCATGTGAGGCCAAAATTCTGAAATCCTTCAGGAGATTGAGAGATATGACAGTTCTAAGTCCAGAATTTTTTTTCCATCTGCTTCAAGAAGTTTATAACTCCTCACATCTGTTTGACTAGCGACACAAACCGCTATAGAGGGAAAAAGGAATTAATAACAATGGCTTCTTTGTTCCTTATTCCTTCCGCCAATTTACAGTATCCTGTAAGTAGAGGTCTTCTCACAAGAACCAGAGGCCACAAGGGCGCAGCAGAGATTATACTATCTGAAACTTCTCAGAAAACAACACCTGAATGAAAAACTGCTGGTGACCTTCCACTGCTGCACCATAGAGAGTATCTTAACTTACTGCATGGTTTGCCAGTTGCACAGTGGCAAATAGGACAGTGCTCCAGAGGGTTAACATCATTGCCCAGAAGATCATTGGTTGCCCTCTCCCCTCTTTGGAAGAGCTTCATAGCTCCCACTGTCTTAAGAAAGTTCAAAACATTCTCAAAGATCCATCTCATCTGGCACCACCCCTTCTTTTTAACTATTACCATTTGGCAGATGGTACAGGACAATAAAAACAAGGCCAAATAGGCTGAAAAACAGCTTCTATCCTAGAGCAGTAACTATATTGAATTCTACTGTATAGTGCAATATTAATGCAATAACGGGTTTTCAATTCAATTGTATAGAATGTGAAGGGTGTCTTTGTGTTTTCTTTTTATAGTTACAATGTACACTGAAGATGGCATTTAATTTTGTTGTACGAGGTGCAATGACAATAAATTAAACTAAACTGAACTAAACTAGAGGTCTTCCCACAAGAGCTCACAGAGTTTTATTTATTTATTTATTAAATTTATATTGCCGCCTATTCGCCCATGGCAACTCGAGGTGGCTTACACAATGTAAAACCATATTTAAAATAAAAAATAAAAAACAATAAAAACTAGTAAAAAGAATCAAATAAATTAATAAAGTAAAATAGAACAAAATCTGGAAAAAATCACCCCCAAATTCCCACCGCCCGCCCTGATAACAGCAGATTACACTAGCCATTTGATGGGCTCCATCCCGCTCTGGGTTCCCCAGGCCCGCTGGCAGAACCAGGTCTTCAACGCCTTCTGGAAGAGTGCTAGAGTGGGGGCCATTCCAATCTATGGGGGAATGATATTCCAGAGAGAGGGAGCCACCACGGAGAAGGCCCTTCTTCTGGGTCCCACCAGGTGTATCTCACTCAGGGATGGGACCCACAACATTCCCTGCCTCCCCGCTCTAATGGGTCAGGTAGTTGTGACCGGCAAGATGTTTCCTCTAAAAGAGAAAGAAGAAGGGTAGCATCTATGTGCAAGACAATCCATTTTGCTTCCATAGGGCAGTTTAATTGAGGGAAAGAACTGTGTAATTATATAGATGTTGCATTGCAAATTAAAGTGGAAGAAAAATATAGGAAGGAGCTATTTTAGACTATATGCTTCAGATATGTGCAATGAACAAAACACATTTTTACACTGATGAGATTTTAATTAGACACACTTCCCATTAGCTAAGATTAAGAGTTAGAATTCATCTTCTTTTTTTTTTTTTTTTGCTCCTTGAAAATGTGATGGGGTGATGAAAAAGAATGACTGAAAAGGATCATTAGCACAAAAAAGTTTTGCTGTATCAGGGGATATGCTAAATAACATCTAAACAAAGCAAAAAACACTCCCCTTCTTATTCTGGCCCCCGTCTTACTGATTTATTTCATGCTCATAAACCCAAACAAGAAACGGAGTGACTGTTTAGGTACGGAAATTTCTTTTAAATATTTATAGGGTGCAGAACTCCTGAGGAATTTAGAAGCAGCTTTGTAAATCCTTAAAGTTTTGTGTGTTATGGAAATATTTGCATATCAAGTTAGAGGATTTCCTGACTTATTCAACCCATCATGATTGGACTGAATGGATAAATGCCTTTTGTGGGTGCATATTTTATATTCATCTTAGGTTAGTATCAATTTAATATATTTTTCTTTGTTGTAATAAAGCAGCCAATGAGACAATATTCAGATTCAGTTCAGATTTCTGGATCAACATATGAAACCAATATGCATGCATTCTATTTGTTGGCTAGTCTTCAAAGAGAGAATAATAGCTTTGTATTCAATAAACAAAAACTATCTCACTCTTTCAACATGATCTTTAAAAAGGAGCTACTGTGAAAGTTTAACAATATAAGGTGACATGATACAGAGGATTAATCAAATAGTTTTTTGGCTACCTGACACATGCCCATCATCCTTACAACCGTCTCATGCTTCTGATGTTTTATCTTTGTGATGCAGCAAAGTTGGACAGAACAATTTATCAATAATACTTTATAATGCACAATCCTGTCAATAAGTTCATAATAAAAATGTTAATTGCAGTAGAGTATGAAGTGTTCTTTGTGAACAAAAATTACCACAGAAAAATATGAGAATTGTGACTATATTTTTCTGGGTAAAAATCAGGTGTTAAATAATTAGATGAAACAATGCAGAGTACTTGGTCTAAAAGTAGTTATCTTTCTGATAAACACTGTGGAACATTCTAGTACCAGAGGTGACAGCCGCCCCTTCATTTTTGGCCTTCCTGAAGGGTATTAAAACCTTTTGCCAGTTGGCCTAATAGTGATAATAGCTGGGATTGGTGAAATAAAAAGACTTCATCCCCATTCCATCCATTTTTTAACTCTCTTGGTTTCAGTTTTAGCACAGTTTTTAATAATATTTTAATCTATATCTTTAAAGTTTTAATATTTTAATTATTTTTTAATTGCTTTACAACTTGTAAGCCTCCAGACTAATCTTCTAGGGAAAATGGGTGGCAGAAAAATGTAATAAATAAATAAACACTGAGAGAGAAACCAATGACTATGGTAGCTGCCTTCTTAAGGAACTGCTTTCTTCTTCTTCTTTTTTATTTTTTTTTATTTGTACAACAAAAACAACAAATAAAAACCATCTTTCAGTTATACAGTGTGTCATCTGGGTACATATATATCTTGTGCACATAGAAATATTTGTATACATTTCTCATTGAGTTTACATTCATATTACATTCTAGTCAACATTATATATCCTATTTTATCATTATTACAATATCATTAGGTTTTTTTTTATTTCAATTACCATCTATCTTTAATAGCAAATCCAACTCTTACTAAATTATATTCATGTAATGACTTATTCAAAATAATCACTTACAATATGTCATTATTACTATAGCCTTTAATTTCTTACTCTACTTTCTAACCATACATAAAATAAGTCCCAAATCTTATAATACTCCTTCTCTTCTTGCTCTCTAATTGCCAGTGTTAACCTACTCATCTCTGCACATTCCATTATTTTCTTAAGGAACTGCTTTCTTAGGGACTATAGCTATTGATAAACTTTCTTTAATGGTTACGCAAACTGTTTGTGTTCTAGAATGTCATTATATGGAATCCCACAGAAATGATTCTTTCTCTAAAATTTCACTACAGGACAGTGATGGGATTCAAATATTTTACCATCGGTTCAGTGGGCATGGCCTGATGGGTGACTTTGCTTGTGTGCACACACTTTGCATGTGTGCACGTGCCAAACGCACACTTTGTGCAGGTGCAGAGGCGTTCTAACTCACTTCCTGCAAGCCTGCACTCTCCCGGTCGCTTCAGCAGCTGCCACGTGGCACTGTTCTGTGCTGCGCAAAGCAGCTGTGCTTCAAATTCAGAAGATAAAGGTGAGCATGGGAGCCTGGGCAGTTGGGTGAGCCCAACAGCAAAGCAGCACAGAGAACTGGTTTGGTCTCCACTGCTCATCGCTGCTACCAGCTTAGCAGAACCAGGCCGAATCGGTAGAATACCACGACTGCTACAGGGTCTGAGGAAAATATTTGTAGACAAGGGAAGGCAGCCATATGGTAGGGAACACAACACGAACACATTACCCTGAGTCAGATCTCGTCAAGTATAAGCAGTTTAACAATTATCTAATGAAGGTTCTATGACTTTTAATCAAAATACATTAGCTTTTTCCACTTAATCTGTGTTTAGCTTTCTGTTATGGGACCAGTTAGGTGGGCAAAGCATCCCTGATTGGGTTTAACCAATCAAATGGAAGTAGTTGCCTTGTTTCCAGCTATTAGAAAAAGATTATCAATATCTTTAAAAGGGACAGTCCCACAAGAACTGTTTATCATATTCTGAAATCAGATAAACTTTTGATATTAGAAACATCAGTTATAAAGTACACTGGATGGAATTTACTTCTATTTTTGTTCTTTTTAAACCTACAGCTTGTTTAATTTTCTAATTTTATGGGTTTAATTTTATTTTAATTTTGAAATCCTTTAAAATGAAATTTTCTATTAATCCTTCTCTTAGTTACTGGAATATGCAGTTAATCAAAGGGAATGAAGGTAAACAAGAACATATATAAATCAGTCAAACTATTTAAAAACAGTAATTTCAAATGCATGCCCATTTTACCATGGTCCTTAGACAGTCTTATCATAGATTTAATCAAGATTGTCTAGGCTGAAAAATTTAGTTTGCTCTTTGCATCTGTTTTCAATAAATAGATGAAGTCAGCATTCTCAGAAACCAAAATATTTTTAACCCAAGCTCAAACTCAGATTTGTATACAAGAATAAAGAAACAACCCAGAGCTTAATCACATTCAATTCTTCTACTATCTATACAAAGTAGCCTCAAATACCCAAACACATGCCTTGAAATTACATGATGATTGATAAACCAAAGGAAAAGAAATGGCTACTTTTTTCCCCACAGCAAGAGATCACATCTTTATAAATAAATTACACTTCTGCATGTATTTGGACAACAGCAGAGTTATTGTAAGAGTCTCCATATAAAATAACAATTGCATGGCAGTAATGTACTATCGGCTATTTTTACCTTAGCGCTGGAGAATTAGAGCTATCTATATGTATGCTTAGAGATACAAAACATTTCCTCAAGAAAATGCATAACTCATCGCAGAAAATAAGGAAGGGAAGTAAAACAGTCAGACAAAGCTAGTCTATGATCTCACTTTTGCCTCTGAAGTAACTGTGGCATCTTCAGGTGTGGTGAAGACATTTTTCAATACCAATAATAAGATAGCAAAAGAGATATCAGGCATCAAGGGAACTTTTTTTAAATGAAATACTTTGACATGTATGTATATATGTATGTATGTATATACTGTATGTACATATACATATACATATACATATACGTATACGTATACGTATACAGATTATATATATATAATCTTTCGTTATTCGGGTTTTCTCCCGTGTAAAATTGGAAGTATCTAGGCAACATTTCGATGAAGTCTCATTCATCATCTTCAGGCTTGTGTCTTTGGCTCTGTGCTTCTCAGAGTAATATATATATATATATATATATGTACATATACATATACATATACATATACATATACATATACATACATACATACATACATACATATATATATATATATATATATATATATATATATGTGTGTGTATATATATATATATATATATTTGTTTTCGTAGATTTTCATGGGTACAGGTATGTAGGTCTAGGTGTGTTTGAGTCTTTTCCCATGTAAGATTAAAAGTATCTTGGCGACGTTTCAGCGAGGTCCCACTTGCCATCCTCAGGCTGGTGCTTTCGGCTTCGTGCTTGCACTGGCAAGACACTCTTAATCTTACACAGGAAAAGACCTGAACACACCTAGACCTACACACACACACACACACACACATGCATACACACTCACATATATATAAACGTAAACAGGAGATAGGTGGTACCTTCTACATAGAAAGGATAGATAAATGTATAGCTATTTATCTATAGGGACAGATAGACAGACCAACTGACAGACAGATAAATAGACGATAAGGATCTAGATAGGATATTTATTTATTTATTTATTTATTTGATTTGTCAATTGTTTACAAGATAATAAGTACAAGTGTATACATAGTTGTGAATATATGAAATGGGTACATATAAGAAAAATAAAAGAATAAGAGAAACAATAGGACAGGGACGGTAGGCACGTTGGTGCGCTTATGCACGCCCCCTACAGACCTCTTAGGAAAGGGGTGAGGTCAATAGTAGACAGTCTAAGGTTAAAGTTTTTGGGGTTTGGGGAAGAGACTACAGAGTCGGGTAGAGTATTCCAGACATTGACCACTCTATTGCTGAAGTCGTATTTCCTGCAATCAAGTTTGGTGCGGTTTACTTTGAGTTTGTATCTGTTGTGTGCTCTTGTGTTGTTATGGTTAAAGCTGAAGTATTCATTGACAGGTAGGACATTGCAATGTATGATTTTATATACCATGCTTAAGTCGGACCGAAGACGGCGTAATTCGAGGTTTTCTAGTTTTAGAATTTCGAGTCTGGTGGCATAAGGTATTCTACAACGGGTAGAAGAGTGGAGAACTCTTCTTGTTCCACCTATCTCCTGTCTACAACACAGTCTTTCAGAAGTTCCTAGAAATTTCCACACCCACTTACGCCCCCTGATGCAGGTGACCCTGAGGGCACAGATAAACCTCCAAGGGCTCATGTTCCACATTCAAAGTGCTAACAATCAGATGACTGAAAGGAACATAAATCCTTCTATTCTCCAGCATTCAGTCAGAACTGAGGATGCTTCTTGGATGAGAAGCGAAACATCTTCAAGAAAAAAAAGTCCAGTTGCCTTCTGAAAAAGCATCTCTGGGACATCCCTATCAAGTCCATCACTGTGAATATTCAGTTTCATTTGTAATATAGTTTAAAGAAATGCAAAATAGAGAGAACAAGTTTTAGATGAGAATTCTTTTTCAGTACTATGGGGATCAGAATGACTTTTAAAAAGCAGAAAATTATACATTATATAGAACATGGTAGTCCTTCTTGCCTCAATCTGGTCTCTAAGCAATACAGAATTGTCAGCATCATAGGTGAGTCCAATATATATTGAAGATAGCAACAGCACTTAGACTTATATAATGCCCCCGGTGCTTTATAGCACTCTCTGGAAAGTTTATCATGTCAGCATATTGTCTCAAACAATCTAGGTCCACATTTACTGACCTTGGAAGGATGGAAGGTGAGTCAACCTTGAGGCCCATCAGGACCAAACTTCAGGCTGTGGGCAGATTTTTCCTGCAATACTGTCTTCTAACCACTACACTATCAGGGTTCCCTTGACAGAAGACAGTAAAGATAAACTAGTTTATTACTTGGTGCAATCAATTGCCATTGTGTGTTCAGTACGTTAAGTGCTTTCATTCCTGTGTAATATTATATTCTACAATTATAACCAAAGGCCAAACTATATTATATTTGAAGTCTTAAAAAAGCAGCTAATTCTAGAAGATAATTCGAGAGCACAAATGAAGTCTCTTAACCAAAATGATGGTTGTAACATTTTAATGTCCTGCATGATTATATAATGAAACATGCTTTCACTATGAAAATGTATTACACAAAGGTATTTTTATTATTTTATTTCTTCTTGGAGCATATTTAACTGATTAAAGTATATCACGGATGAAATAAGTCTGTTTACTACCATCCTCTCTACAATGGAACATGCTTTTGTGTATGATTCATCTATATTAAATTTGTATTGTGGACAGAAAACTATTTTTATTGATGAAATTTTAATTAGCCATATTTTGGCATCAGCAGTGAAGCATGAACACCATATGTCTTCAATATACTGTCTTGCACCTGTTGACTTTTACATTCCAAGAAAAAAACCTTCTTTGTAAGAACAGGGTAGAAAAATAGATTTGCATTCAACACACGTATCACAACTCAGAAAGTTAAACTTGATCACTTCTGAATATGCCAACTTTTGTCCAAATGATTCTTTATGGGATTAGACTTTGTCTGCTGAATTATCTATCCACAGTTGTTCTTGCACACATATTTCAATATGAAATGCTCAAACATGTTAAATTAAGATCCCTTATGAAGCCATAAGTACAATTCTAGTCTTGTTGCCTTGCAGTAAATTCAGTGGGAATAGAGGAAAAGTGAATTCGTATTACTAGTGAAGATGGGAATTGAACTCCATCACTTCTGGAAGATACTGGGTTAAATAAGAGTAGGAGTTCCTACCACTGAAGCCAGTTCTGAGAAACCATAGAGTGAGTAATTAATGATCTAATTCTCCTAAAACCAAAGTTATAGCTTTCCCCCCCAAAATGATTGATTTATTTTATTCCACAGTAAATGCCACATACTGGGGTCAAACCAGGAGCATATATTTTTTACTAGACAGGTAGGCTCCCATTATGCAATAAAATGGGTGTGTGTTGCATTGTCTGATATACTAAATTTATAAAGAAGGAGATGGGAATAAATGTCCTTACCTTGTTCTCCATGCTGATCACTATTTATTGTGATATTTTAAAGTTGTTTCCTCCCTGCCTCCTAGCTCAGATGAGGTCAAATGACAAATGCAGTGTTGTGCTGATGCAACACAAGCCACACACATTTTATGCATCTGCTGTAATACTGGACATATATACAAAAGGAATACAATATTGCTTTTGTCATTTTGACAGAAATACAAATCCTACAGACATCCTTGCCATTCAAAAATGGACAGTGCAAAAAGTGCAGGTTTTATTTCCCATT